ACAAACTTTCAATTAGCAGGTTTAGCGGTCAAAAACGAGAGCAGTTTATGGCTGAGGGTTCGTAGGCTATCAGGCGCGCGCGGGTCTTGCTTCCTCGGTCAAGCTGCGTGCGAGTGGCGCCGCTGCTTCCTTTCGTGCTTCAGTGAGGGGGGGGGGCTGCTTCCTTCCTTCAGTGCTGCAGTGAGGGGGGGCTGAGTGAGGGGGGGGGCTGCCTTCCTTCTTCAGTGAGGGGGGGGCTTGCTTCCTTCGTGCTTCAGTGAGGGGGGGCTGCTTCCTTCGTGCTCAGTGGAGGGGGGCTGCTTCCTTCGTGCTGCAGTTGAGTGAGCTTTGGCCCCGCTGAGATGGGCTCTCTCGCTGTCTCTGTCTCTGGCCTCCTCGTCTGTCTGTTTCTGTCTCTGGCTCCTCCTCTGTCTGTTTCTGTTTCTGTCTCTGGCTCCTCCTTGTCTGTTTTCTGTTTCTGTCTCTGCTCCCTCCTCTGTCTGTTTCTGTGTTCTGTCTCTAATCTCCTCCTCTGTCTGTTTCTGTTTCTGTCTCTATCCTCGTCTGCTGTTTCTGTTTCTCTCTCTGCTCTTCGTCTGTCTCTGTTTCTGTTTCTGTCTCTGGCTCCTCGTCTGTCTGTTTCTATTTCTGTCTCTGGCTCCCCCTGTCAGTCTGTTTGCCTGTCTCTGTCTCTATCTCTGTTTTCTGTTTCTGACTGTCAGTTCATATTTTTGTCTAAATTTATGTCTCTGTATCCGTTTCTGTCGTCTGTCTGTCTCTATGTCTCAATTTCTTTTTTGTCTGTTTGTCTCTCTCTCTATCTATCTATTTATCTCGCCCCCCCCCTTTCTCTCTCTCTCTGTCTCTCTCTCTCTCTCTCTCTCTCTCTCTCTCTCTCTCTCTCTCTCTCTCTCTCTCTCTCTCTCTCTCTCTCTCTCTCTCTCTCTCTCTCTCTTTCTCTCTCTCTTCCCCAACCCGTCCAAGAGAGTCGCAGAATCGAAGGAATTTACATAAATATCATTCTCAACCTCCAGCTTTTTCCTCTCCTCCTGCTGGCGGTCTTCCTTCCTCCTGTTCTTGTTCTTGACCTGTTCCTCTCCATCTGCCGTTCACTGTAGTCGTCGTTCTTCTTGTTCCTTTGCTCCTCCTCCATTCACATCTTTCTCCTCCTTATCTACCTCGGGCCTCTTTCTCCTCCTCTTTTTTACCCCCCCTCCTCTCCTCTTTCTTCTCTTCCTTTTCTTCTCTTTTCCTCCTCTTCTCCTTTCCTTCTTCTCTCTTCTTCTTCTCCTCCCTCTCCTCCTCTTCCTCCTCCTCCTCCTCTCCTCCTCCTCCTCCTCCTCCTCCCCTCCTCCTCCTCTCCTTTCCTGCCTCTCCTCCTCCTCCCCGCCCACACCCTCCGCCCTCGTGGCCGGTGTGCTATCGTAAAACTTGCCCTCCGTCTGGCCATTCACGCCCACCCTCTGCCAGCCATAAAACCTCTCGCTGCCCGCCCGCCGCCCGTCAGCGCTGGGGAGGAGGGTGTCTCTGATAACTTCTTGGCCCCTTTGGGTGTTTCTCTGTCTGTCTGTCTGTCTGTCTGTATGAATTGGGCTTATCAGTGTGTCTGTGTATCGTTTGTCTCTGTCACTGTCTAGCAATGTCTGCTTCTATCTTTTTTTTTTTCTCAATTTTCTCTCTCTCTCATCTCTCGTCTCTCTCTCTCTCTCTCCTCTCTCTCTCTTCGCTCTCTCTTCTCTCTCTCTCTCTCTCTCTCTCTCTCTCTCTCTCTCTCTCTCTCTTCTCTCTCTCCTCTCTCTCTCTCTCTCTCTCCTCTCTCTTCTCTCTCTTCTCTCTCTCTCTCTCTCTCTCTCTCTCTCTCTCTCTCTCTCTCTCTCTCTCTCTCTCTGTCTGTCTGTCTGTCTCCTCTCCCTTCCTTCCCCTGCCTCCCTCCCTCCCTCCTTCCTTCCTTCCCTCCCTCCCTCCCTCCCTCCTCCCTCCCTCCCTCCCTCCCTCCTCCTCCCTCTCTCTCTGCTTGGGAAACCGCATTTGAATGGGTACACCTGTGTACAGAAGCGTGGGACTAATGCCTGTTTTCCTTGGGTGGGGGTGGGGTGGGGTGGGGGGTAGGGGAATATGACGACTTAATTACAGGATGAATGTATACAGTATGTGAATAAATAAAATAAATGAATATATGTGTATATATGTATAAGTGTGTGTGTGTTGAGATTATGTATATATGTTGTATTATTTATATATATATATATATTTATATTTATAACAAATGCATATTTACACACACACACCACACACACACACACACACATCACACACACACACTCACACACAACACACACACACACCACACACACACACACACACACACACAAACACCACCACACACAACACACACACCACACACACACACACACACACTCACACACTCACCACACGCTCACACACTCCTCCCCACATACACACACACAGTATCTACAAACATGTGTTTCTCACGAGACACTTGCAGGCCGCCCACGCCCACCACGCAATCCTCCGGACGCGATGTCATGGCGCCCACAAGATCAACCGCGAGAGGTGCTGTTAATGATACACTTTATATGTAAGCAAATTGGTCTCTAATTATGCTGACGCTTCCCAGACTGGTTCCACGCCGCCCACGCTGCTCCCACGCCCTCGATGCTACCCTTCCCCCCTTCGCTCCGCCCATGGTGCCCTACTCACCCCATCGTCTCCCATGGCGTTCATGGTGTCAATCTCTGTCTGCTTCGGAGTAATTTATTCTGTTTACTTAAGTTATCCCTTCCATAGCGTCGTTCGCAAAGAAAACGGAAGCATATCGCTGGTGTTATTTTTTCTGTCATTCGATTAAACGGTGACAATACGAAATTGGTCTTGCATCCCTTTCATTTATGTATTCACATGTTTTGTTATTCATTTTTTTCTGTTATCGCATTTAGGATATTTGGTTTTCGTTTATAATTGGAGGAGATTTCAACGCCCGCGGAGGTACCAATCTTAATGGAATATTGATAATGATTTTAAGAACCATAAGATTTTGATGATTATGATGGTAACGATAATGATATTGATCGTTAAAATGGTATTGATGAATACAAAAAACAACATTAATTCAATAAGAATAATGATAAGTTGATAACCATGATAGCACGAGAAGATGATATATATATTTAATAAAAATATGATGATATAGATATAGATATTGATAATTGCAACAAAGGAATAACGAGAGGCGGAAAGAGAGTGTGAGCGAGAGAGGGAGAGAAAAGGAGAAAGAGAGCGCAGGAGAAACAGAGAGAGAGTTTAGAAGAGGAGATAGAGTAGGAGAGAGAGAGAGGGACAAGAGAGTAGATGAGAGGGGCAGCAGATACACAGAGAAAGGGCAGGAGAGGCAGAGAGAGAGGGTAGGGAAGACAGGGAGAGTAAGAAAGAGAGAGAGGGCAATAGAGACACAGAGAAAGGGCAGGAGAGAGAGGGAGGTAAAAAGTGAGAGGGCGTGACGAGAGCGAGAGAGAGCGAGAGAGCGACGAGGGCCGAGAGAGCGAGAGATAGCGAGAGAGAGAGCGAGAGAGAGACGCGTGAGATGGAGCCGAGGGCTGCACCGAGAGAGGGTTCCCAGCCTGAAGGCGCGATGAAGAGAGCGAGAGAGGGCTGGAGGAGAGCGAGCAGAGGAGCCGAGAGAGAGAGCGAGAGAGAGACGCGGAGAGAAGGGAAGCGACGAGAGGAGAGCGGAGAGAGAGAGAGAGACGAGAGAGAGAGAGAGAGACGAGAAGAGAGAGAAGAGATGAGCGAGAGAGAGAGAGAGAGAGAGAGGGAGAGAGAGAGAGAGAGAGAGACGAGAGAGAGAGAGAGAGAGAGAGATGAGACAGAGAGGACAGAGAGAGAGAGGGGGAGATAGAGAGAGCGAGAACAGAACAAAGAGAGCAGACGAAAAGAAAGAGATAGAGACTGCGAGAGAAAGACAGAGAGAGAGAGAGGAGAGAGGAGGAGAAGAGAGAGAGAGAGACAGAGAGAGGACAGAGAAGCGAGAAAGAGACAGAGAGAGCGAGAAAGAAAGAGAGAAAAGAGAGAGAGAGAGAGAGAAGAGAGAGAGAGAGAGAGACGAGAGAGAGAGAGAGAGAGAAGAGAGAGAAGAGAGAGAGAGAGAGAGAGAGAGAGAGAGAGAGACAGACAGAGAAGACAGAGAGAGAGACAGAGAGAGCAGAGGAAAGGAAAAGAGATAGAGAGAGTGAGAAAGAAAGAGACAGACAGAGAGAGAGAGAGAGGGAGGAGGAGGGAGGGAGGGAGGGAGGGAGGGAGGGAGGAGAGAGGGAGGGAGGGAGGGAGGGGAGGGAGGGAGGGGAGAGGAGAAGAGAGAGAGAGAGAGAGAGAGAGAGAGAGAGAGAGAGAGAGAGAGAGAGAGAGAGAGAGAGAGAGAGAAGAGAGAGAGAGAAGAGTGAGAGAGATGAGATAAGATATACATGTAAATAGTGTTGTGGGCGGACCGTAAGTCAAGTGGTAGCCATGTTATTAGCCTTGGCTTACCTGCTTCAGGCCTCCCACCCGCTCTCGAAGACCCTGCTACTTTCTGCTACTGATCTGCTCGCTCCTGCTCACTGCTCCTGATGTTTTGGGCTGGGCGGGGGGGGGGGGGTGTTCATAGGGGCTTTTTGCTTTTCTTTGTGTTCGTTTGTTATTTTGTGTTTCTCTGTTCCTTTCATTCTTCATGCTCTCACTTTTTTTTTTCTTTACATCTACTTTCTTTCTCTCTCTCTCTCTCTCCCTCACTCTCTCTCTCTCTCTTTCTCTCTCCCCTCTCTCCCTCCCTCCCTCTCTCCCTCTCTCTCTCTCTCTCTCTCTCTCTCTCTCTCTCTCTCTCTCTCTCTCTCTCTCTCTCTCTCTCTCTCTCTCTCTCTCTCTCTCTCTCTCTCTCTCTCTTCTCTCTCTCTCTCTCTCTCTCTCTCTCTCTTCTCTCTCTCTCTCTTCTCTCTCTCTCTCTCTCTCTCTCTCTCTCTCTCTCTCTC